ACCCGCTAAATTACAGGGTGGAGAAGTCATCACATACAGTGGATTTATGAAAACAAGTTATGACGGACATCTCTGTTTCCTATTCCGGTGTTTTGGTGCTTAGTACATCTCTGTATGACTCTTCAAACTTCCAGAACAAATGGAGCCCTGCCTGGAATGGAAAGAGGGAGAAATTTCAACCAGAACCACTTCATTTAAAGTTTTAATCACTTCATTTATTTAAAAGTTTCTAACCTTTGTTGATGTTTTGGAGTTTGTAACTAAACAGTGGTGCGCAGTTTATGGTTTTCTTTCTGCTGCACTTCCCTATTTGGCAAATCAGAGGCAGCTTAATTCCCATGACGTTCTTCAGTGTCATAAACACCCCCAATTTCCACATTCAAGAGGAACTCTGACAACACGACGCAGCTAAGCACAAAATACCCCAGGCTTTCTGCTACATGTCAAATAGCGATTTTTTTTCTATTCATCTGCAGTGGAGCTTTGTTACTCCTCTAGAACTTGCCAGCAGCAGTGAAGCCTGCAGCATGACCCTCTCAAAAAGCTCCTTYACCAGGGTAGAAAACAGAGGCACTAATATCTGCAGCCTTGCTATTTAGTTAAGTTTCAACTAGCTAAATACCAGAGCTGCTGAACTTTTCTAAATAAAAGCAGCCATGGAACTACGACAGCAATGTGCAGGTTTTCACAATGCCCAAGTCTTTGGAGCGTTTCAGGTCCAGCAAATCTTTTTGAGTCTTGCTTCCTTGTCATCTAGTGACCAACACTGGCAAACCTGAAAACAGACAGTGAAGAAGACATTAAGTTATGTTGTCCACTTCTTGCTCCAATGGCTGTTAATACCAGCTACCGATCCTGAACTTGATTTTATGTGCGGCTTTGCTGCTGCAAACTCTTCCTCCAATCTAAGCGCTTTCAGAAAGCAAACTTATAGAAGTTTGACAAAGAATCATTAACTGGAGGGGTTGACTAATGTTCAGGATCTCCCTTGCTAAAGGAATGAAAAGCACGCTGAAACAGGGTTAAAAGGGGAAAATGTTTTCAAAAAGAAAACTCCAGCTTTTGTCAACCTGAAACAACTGGAACTGAGATTCCTATCGTGGATTTCCATTTTGTTGCTCCTCTTTACTTTCTCCTTTAGCAGGTTTGGTTATTTAGTAACTCAGACTATACAAGCTATTTTCCCAGGTAATTTTATACAGCCTAATTGCTGTTATGTGTTTGTGTAAGAACACAGACCTGTTGGACTCAGCACATGCTCACTCTGAGAGTTCAGGAGGGAATTAATAAAAACTTACTGCTGTCGACTGCTTTGAAACAGGTATCTTGGAGAGGGGAAGGCTCTGGCCACGGGGAGACAGTGGAACAAAGGAGTCTTTGTATGAAGAGCAAGAGAAGAGCCCCGGCTCTTCATCCGTGAGTTATGAGTCAGAGTCCTCTCTGCGAGGGCTTGTGAATCACGTCACCACAAAAGTGGAAAAGTCAGACTAGCTCAACAAAACTGCAGCTGGAACTAATCCCACGCACTATTTAATGCACAGAACCCAAACAGGCTGCTTGGGCCCTTTTCAGGCCACGCAACAACGCCAAGGTGTCCAGGTCACTCAATGGAAAAACGGTCTAGCAGCCCACTGAGGTGACAGGGATCCAAAGGTCGATGCTATTTCACTTGTCACAGTTGGGCAGAGAGGAACCTCATGAGGTTCAACAAGGACAAGGGCAGGGTCCTGCACCTGGGCAGGAATAACCCCAGGCACCAGCACAGATTAGGGGCTGACTGCTGGAGAGCAGCTCTGCAAAGAAGGACCTGGGAGCCCTGGTTGGTAACAAGCTAACCATGAACCAGCGGTGCCCTCGTGGCCAAGGAGGCCGATGGGCTCCTGACTGCATCAGGAGGATGGTGCCAGCAGGGCAGGGAAGGGATCCTGCCCCTCTGCTCMGCKCTGGGGAGGCCAAACCTGGAGCATCGGGGGCAGYTCTGGGCTCCCCAGGACAAGAGGGAYGTGGAGCTTCTAGAGAGGGGCCAGCGGAGGGCAACCAAGATGATGAAGGGACTGGAGCATCTCTTGTACGAGGAGAGACTGAGTGGGTTGGGCCTGTTTYCTCTGGAGAAGAGAAGGCTGAGAGGGGATATGATCAACATGTATAAGCTCATGAAGGGGGAATGCAGGGAGGAAGGGGTCAAGCTCTTCTTGGTGGTGGCCAGTGACAGGACAAGAGGCAATGGGTACAAACTGAAACCCTGGCAGCCCCATCTCCATGTGAGGAAGAACTTYGCTGTGAGGGTGACAGGAGGGCTACAAAACCCACCTGGATGTGACCAGGTGCCCTGTGCTCTGGGTGTCCCTGCTCGAGCAGCAGTTGGACTAGATGATCTCTAGAGGTCCCTTCCAACCTCAGCCACTCTGATTCTGTGAACAGTTTAAAAGAAATAAAAATAAGCAACAACATAAAAACATAAGAAGCTATGGCACTTGCAGGTAATAAATCTTTGTCGYAGCCAGGTTTGATTTAAAAATAAATTCATAAAGGGCCATCTCCCCTTTTTTTTTGGAAAAGGGTGATTTTCTTTGGCTCTGTATCCACCTTTGTTCCCCTCACTCTCAGGGCACCCCGACCCCCAAGTGAAGCAGCACCGGGTAGCCCTTCCCTGCAGCTCGCTTTCCATGCTTCTTAGCCATGGATAACGAGCCCCATGCGTTGGGATGTGCCCCGTGCAGCTCAGCTTGGTCTTTGGGAGAGGCCTGGGCTGTTACAGCCTCAACCACCCCGAACTGCCGAGCTGAGGACCCCTGCGATGGGAGCTGCGACACATTCGCTTTTTCCACGCGTCTGACTGCTGCTTTCCGGGTGGACGTCAAGGATCCTCCCACACGGGCGAATGCGCGGCCCACGGGCCGTGCGGCTGCTCCCCGGCTCGGCTCGGCTCGGCTCGGCTCGGCCCGGCCCGGCCCGGCCCGACCAGACCCGGCCCGGCCCCGCCAGACCCGGCCCCGCCAGGCCCGTCCCGGCCTTCGGGCCCCGCGGCCACCGCCGCCGAAC